GGGGGCCGGGCGGGGGAGGGGGCCCCCCCCCCCCCGCCATGGGTCGCATCCTGCATTGCCCACCCCAGGTCCCTAAAGCCACTTTCACCCCTCCACCCCCTCCTTCCAGGACCCAAATCAACTTCACGGTGGCCATCGACTTCACTGCGTCCAACGGTGAGCGCGGGCCTGTGTCCCGTCCACACCCCCCTGGCGTTATTTAACAAGGGGGGCTCATTAACCCACTGATGGGGGGGTTGGATCCGGCTGGGCTGAGCCCCCCCCACACCCCGCGCAGGGAACCCCTCGCAGTCCACCTCGCTGCACTACCTGAGCCCCTACCAGCTCAACGCCTACGCCATGGCCCTCAAGGCGGTGGGCGAGATCATCCAGGACTACGACAGCGACAAGATGTTCCCCGCCCTCGGCTTCGGCGCCAAGATCCCGCCCGATGGCCGCGTCTCCCATGAGTTCCCGCTGGTAAGGGTCTGTCCTGAGGGGTGACAGGGCTTGGGGCAGGGGGGGGACACGGGCACGGTGGCATCGTTCTGGTCACCGGGGTTCCCTCCTCCTGCAGAACGGTGACGCGGCCAACCCGGCGTGCAGCGGCATCGAGGGTGTCCTGGAGGCGTATCACCGCAGCCTGCGCAGCGTCCAGCTCTACGGACCCACCAACTTCGCCCCCGTGGTCAACCACGTCGCCCGGTAAGGGGGTCCCAGCACCCACCCCACCCCCCTGGGGGGGTTCTGTGCCCACCCCGGTGCCACTCATGGGGTCCCCTCCCAGCTCGGCAGCGGCGGTGCTGGATGGGTCCCAGTATTTTGTGCTGCTCATCATCACCGATGGCGTCATCTCAGACATGGCGCAGACCAAGGAGGCCATCGTCAACGTGAGTCCTGCGGGGTGGTGGGTGCCCCTGGATGGGGTGCAAGGACCAGCCGGGGTTGGGGTGCTCTGAGCCATCTGGGGTGCAAGGACCAGCCGGGGTTGGGGTGCTCTGAGCCATCTGGGGTTTAAGGACCAGCTGGATTTGGGGTGCTCTGAGCCATCTGGGGTGCAAGGACCAGCTGGGTGCCCCAAGATAGGTGCAGGAACCAGCTGGGGATGTGGGGGGGCCCCAAGATGTTGGGGTGCAAGGACCAGGTGGGACTCGGGGTGCCCCTGACGGGGTGCAGTGAGCTGTGTGGGTGCAAGACCCAGCATGGGGTACCCCAAGAGGGGTACAGTAACCAGACAGGGATGCGGGGTGCCCCAAACTGGGGTGCAACGACCATCCAGGTGCCCGGGGTGCCCCAAGCCGTTGGGGTGCCAGAGCAAGCTGGGGGTGCCGGGTGTGATGGGCGGTCAAGGACGCAGTGTCCCCTGCGGGGGGGCCCTGGGCAGCTCCGGCCTCCTCCCCACGAGGGGCCTGGAAAGGAAAAAGCAATTTTGGCGCCCAGGCGGCTCTTCGAAGGTGCCAGCAGCACCTTTGCCCTCACAAGTGCTGCGCCCGAGCCTTCCCCCCGAGTCCCCCCCCTTCCTCGCTCAGCCCAGCACCCAGGCGAGCTGGGAGCTTTAATCTTCCTCCTCCTCCTCCTCCTCATCCCCCAACCTCCCTCGCAGTGGCTCAGCTCCATCGCAGCTCCCCGATACCCGGGGCGTTGGGAGGGTTGGGGATGCGGGAGCCGAGCGGGGATGCTGGGGGGCTGCCAGCCCCCCAATGCCAGGCACCCCCAGGGCCCAGCTCCCAGGCGGGGCGGGAGGCAGAGCAGCTCCGGGGAGATTCGTTTGCTGCTTTATTTAATATCCCCGCAGTGCGGCTTTGCTGGGAGCTCGGGGTGCTCGGCCCTGGCAGCTGGCACCCACCCCGGTGCCAGCCTGGCCCCCAGCACCCCCTGGGCCGGGTTCGGGGACGTGCCACCCCACGGCTGTGCCGGGCCACCGGCAGGGCTGCCG